ATAATTAAGTGTGAAACTCGTAGATTGGTAGACATTAGATAAGGGGAATGATGCCTAATTAATTCCGGGTTCCAATTTTGAGATGTCATAGAATGATCATTCTGAAATAATTCGGATATTTATTCAGTAATAACTAGTTTAGGACATTTTTTTAGATAAATAAGTAAATTGAATATGACTATAGGGTGCATTAGTTGTTGTACATTCCTATCATCTATAAATCCAATCCCCATCAAGCTAACAATCCTTGGCAGGCTAACTACTTCATGACAACAATAATGGACTCTGAACTAACCATTAAAGGAGTAAAAATACACATGGTCAGTCAAAAACTGAAATTCTAAAATTACAAGAGACAAGTACTGTAATTCAAGGACTTCTTGAACAGTTATCTGGTCAAACTGAAGCAATTACATCAGAAAGTTCAGATTTAGACAAGATTATGGCAGAAATGTTGAGTACTTTGGCCTATCACCAAACTCATCTATGAGATGAGGATAAGCCACATGCAAACTCCAACAAATTATGAATGAGAGCAAAAGTTAACAAGGTTTGAATAAGGGTCACCATAGGCTCAACCCAAAAGGCCAATTTTCAATTCTAATATTTATTTTTTAATTTCAACTGAACATTTAACAAGTCATTTCTGGCCAAGAATCACTAGCACATGCAGCTATGGTCTCATTCAAAAGAAACATAAAAAAAATCATAAAAGCAAATGTAACAATATAAATCGAGAGTCCCAATTACCTCTGAGTCAGCACACAATCTGCTTTGCTGATCAAATTCATGCGCTTTGCTGATAATGTTAGGCAGGTGAGCGAAAATGTGTCTCACCAATTCATGCATTGTGTGTCTTGCTATTCTCTGCAGCAGTTCACTTTTGGCACTAGCTTGATGAACAAGCCGAAAGCAAGTGTTTACAATGTTGCACACGTGATGATTACTTAAATTTTCTGATGCCTTACTTTTCATGCAAGCCAAAAGAACCTGAAGTATCTTCATCAGTACCACTTCCTCAGAGGCAGGATCAGTCACTTCAAAGCGGCAACTTGTCACGGTCTCAACTATCTGATATAAAGCTTTCTCCACATTCATGATAGATGAATCAATTATTTCAAGGGTTAAGAATTTGTAAACAGAAGACAGTGCAACACCGGTTATTGGTGCACCAGTTTCATCAGATTGAATCACATCCAAGAAAGGCTGAAGATATAGGAGTGGATCAACTCTGTTCCAGTGATGTTTCCATGAGAAGACATTTTTCCGTAATTCCTTGAAAGAATGTATGAGAGGATGCTCTAGCTGATCATCAGCAGCAGCATAATGGAACCCCCACCTTACATTTCTCCTCATAACGGCCAAAACAGCACCAATTTCTGAATTTACCATACATGCTAAGGCACCTTTGGAAGGCTTTACAGTGCAATCATTGGGTTCTGAAAATGGAGTATTGACTTCACTCTGCTGATTGAGGCACCCCATCTTGATTAAACTTTTAATTTAGTTCACTTCAATTGTAAAAGAATCAAAAGGCTACAGAACGAATCAAGCAGCATCTTGCTAAATCATTTCCTGAGCATCAACAAATTGGTTTAGTATAAGACAGTCAACCCTTATAAGTAGATAAAGGCAAGTGAAACAGTTAGTGAGATACCAAAAATCAACTAGCTACATTTCATTCACAGTGGCAAACGACTGAGATATCGTTAAAAGATTAAAAGGCTAAGAGTTATTAGAAGAAGAGTGTAATTATGAACTGCCTGTTTAAGGGCAAAATGCACAACCAAGTATAGCTAGTAGATGAAGCGCCTAATTCCTTCAAAAGAAAGAGATCAGCAAACTGAGTGAGATGACTAGAACCATTTGCTTTTGAAGGAATATCTCTGTAAATTATCTTTTGCTTTTGCCAATAAAAAAGAAAGAGATAGGGGCAGTAGTTAACATTTTTTTGTTTTAAAACGCTACTAAATGGTTTTTCAGTAATTTGGTAACGTTGGTAAGTGAAAAAACTTACAATTTCCTGAATTATTGATAGTTCTTCTCCACCTTGAATATTTTATTAGAATTCAACTCTACTCCAAGTACGCTTCTAGGCATCCAAATGTCGAAGTCTCTGCCGCTTTCAAATGTTTAAATCACTCTTCTCTCTCTCTTAAATGCTCATCTTTCTTCCTGATTAAAAAAAATATTTCTTTAACGCAACAACGGAAAAAAAAGAAGTAAAACGGAGTACAACCACGACTACAATATTGTATTCATTTACTAGATCATTCTGTCAAGATGTAAAAAAAGCTTTGTCCTCCCATAGATCTTTGCATTCTTTGAAATATTAAGATGAAGCTTTGCCTTTCAGCATTTTGCAATCAATACAGAACTTCACCTAAATAGATCAATGAGAACCCCTAATACATCTTAAATGAGCACCATTTGAACAAAATGAATATAGAATTTGTATAACTGACTGGCACCCACGGGTGTGAGCTAGTGGCCAATCAAGTGTGTTGAACGCCGTGAGGTACTACGTCCAAATCCCTGCCTAGACAAAACATTAAGTGATTTCTCCCATTTGTTCTAGACTTCATGGATAGACTCACCATGTACCTGATGTTGATGGGAGGTTTCCCGTGAAAAAAAAAAGATTGTATAACTGAATGCAACTAGATTGTGATTGAGATATAATTAATTTGTACAATTTAGTTACCATCACAAGAACCCCAATCTCCTGAAACAAATAATCTCATCCCAAAAGCATAAACAACAGGGAAAAAAAATGACTCAAAATTCAGAACAACCACATTTCGACTCACCATGAAACCAACCCAGGGGTTTAGTTTACGGCATATAAAAGATCACAAAGAAATGATCTTTACACAACCAATAAAATTCAAATCGCCTTTGAGATTTTCAAACGCACATTATTATATAAATTGTCTCACGATGTCACATCACTTGTTATTGCGCGAGAAAATTCAGAAACAAAACGAAAATTATAGCAAGAAATTCAAAATGCCGGATCTAAATCAATCATCAGAGACATATAACAGAAATCAAAAATATATCTATATAGCTGAAGATCAGTATGGAGCATGGATTTCAACTTTTATGATTATATACATATGAGTGATTCATAGGATCCAGAAGAAAGTGAAATTTACCTTATACACAATATTGAAAGCTGCTCGTAATAGGGTCATTGCAGTTGATATTTTTTTTTGGTTTTTTTGCAGTTGATTTTGGAGGGGTCCTCCTTGTCGATCTTTAGACAACGGGTTAGAAATCAATATTTTTTTGTTTTCATTATTATTCACTCTTTTTGTATTTACGTTTTCTATGTTTAAATGATTATAATTAAATTATTCATTTATTGTTATTGGGTTATTACGTTAATGGATATGTAAGTTATCGGTTAATGGATTCGTAAGTTATGGGTTTATATTTCAATTTTATGATTGTTAAAGCGATAATCTAATAAGATTATAAAAATTATTGTTTTACCTTAATAGTATGAGGAAAAATTACGTGGATATGCAAATCTATACTTGTTAATTAGTTAACGTATAGCTATAGTTTGAATTAATAAGGGTCGCAAGTTAATTTTAGTTGTAATTACGTCGCTTATACATATATACATACAGTTATATGACACATTTATGGATACAATTAGCATCTCTCCACTCTCGGTCCTCTATCGCTCGCCTTCTCTCCTCCATCTCCAATTTCGCTCGCGAAATATACAAATACATATGTATTAACAATAACATATATACAATTATCTTATACGTATACAATTCACTCTCTCCACTCTCTGCCCTCTCTAGCTCGCCTCTTTCCTTCCTCTCCCAATCTCGCTGTCAGATTTATAAATGCTGATGTATATCAGTTATATATATATAATTATTTGATAGATATATATATACAATTCGACAGATATATGTATACAATTCGCCTCTCTCGATTCTTTGTCTCCTCTCATTCGTCTTTCGCCACCATCTCCCAATCTTGCTCGCCTCTCTTCTCTCTCTCCTAATCTTGCTTGCTACTCTGTTCCCTCTAACATGTAGCTACAAATCGTAATTAGCAAACTATAGTTATAAAGCATAATTAAATTATTTTTGAGTGGCTATATGCGAAAATAACATTTTACCAACCCTGTCATCTAATTTTTCATATCACTTTTGATTGTAGGCAACACAAACTAGCCGCTCTATTGTGAATTTTCTCTCTTTTCGACAAACTAGTATTATCTTCTCTCTATTAGATTTGATTGTGACAAAAGACATATAATTAATGTCGTTTCTGTAATTTATTATATGTTTTTTTGTGTGAAGAAATTCGAACAACTGCATCGCAAACAAAAGTGATAAAAGTAAAAATTTGTGTTACACTTATTGATTACACCGAATGTTGAACCTTTGTGAATCAAAAACCGATAATAAATATCTTATTAATTTGATTATTAATTTAGTTTATTCACAATTGAAAACTAATGTTGGAGGGTGGCTAGAGTGCCCTCGTTGACATCTTCTTTTAGTTGATGATGAAGCAATCAGCAACACCACATGGCATCCCATAACAAAAGGGGAACTTCGAAATGAATCTAAGTAAACAAAAACAGCAGAACAACACAACACATTTGCAAAAAAATACGGATAGTCTATTTTATTGCCACTCAGTATATAGTTGTGTAGATTGTGATCAATGTTGAAAAGTAACTATGAGCTAAAACTTTTAAACGCCAAGTAAAAAATAAAGCAAATAAGTGCATCTTTTATAAAAAGGAATTTTCAAGAAAGACAAGTAGATAGTTTTGAACATTTGATCTCTTTTTCCAGTTTGTGAACATTTTAAGTTTAATAGTTTTGACTTCTGACATCAAACAATTTACCTATAAAGTAATCAGAATCAAGTTCAAAGTCACTCGTTACTAAGATCATTTGTCTAATTTTAATATGGGAAAAATTCACTAAATATGTATCGAACTGATCGACAAGTGGACTTATTCTAGTGACCAAGTCAGGCCACAGCCTCTGATTTTTGTACTATAAATTAACTCTTTTTCTCTAAATAAAAGGAAAGCTTAAAAGAGAAAGCAACTCTTTTGCTGGGTCAAACCATATATTAAATAACAGTATATGCCTTTTGTTTCTTATATTTTAGTAGTAATAATGTATATACTAAAATAGTGTCCTCCATATGTTGCCATAACAAAGCCAAAGCAATAAAACAAAATGCATCTTAACAAACAGGAAAAGCACCTTTTACCTCTAACAATTTGCCATTTGACAGGATATTCCTTCTCCCATTCATATAAAAATATGAAATTTTAACATCCCAACTTACTTGTGTATAAAAACTACAAACTATCCATTCTTGTTTATCGCACACGATGCCTAATATCCATCTTTTACGATTAGAACTATCTAATCTCATTCGCTCTCTCAGGGAGAGGGCAATTATAACAAATTAAGCACATGGGTAGGAAGAGAAAAGCTGAAGGACTCATGAAAATTCAACGACCGCGGAAGAAATTTGTTGGAGTTAGACAGAGGCCATCAGGCAGATGGGTTGCTGAAATAAAAGACACCATACAGAAAATAAGAGTATGGCTTGGGACTTTTGACACTGCTGAAGAAGCAGCAAGGGCTTATGATGAAGCGGCTTGTTTGCTTCGTGGACCAAATACTCGCACGAATTTCTGGACTTCTTCTTCTCCATCTTCCAATTCAGCTCTGCCTCAGAAAATCACTAAACTTCTTCTCAGCAGACTCAGAGAACAAAACAAATCTGCTGCTGCTGCTGCTGCTGATTCATCCAGTTCTACTACCTCTCTGGCTGAAATTGATCATCAGCAGCAGAAGCAACAAGAAAAAATCGGAAACAGAGTAGTTGATTTTTCAGATTCGTTGTATACTGATTATCTCAATTACCCTGAAGATAATGTAACTGAAAACAACGTGATTGCTCCAATTACAAGAGAATTAACAAGCATAGTTCAAAATCAGGAAATTAATTTTCAGCCTGTGAATAACTATGAGATTATAGAGATAGGAGAGGCAATTAATATTGATGTTGAAGATATAGAGTCAGATATTGACTTCCAATTTCGTTTTTCGCCATTTGATTTAGCTGAAGAGCTATCAATGGATTTTGGGGAAGAAACATCAATTGTAAGTGAGGCAATGAGGAGGATGAATTACGAGAGGAAGTTTTCAGCTTCACTCTATGCTTTCAATGGGATCACGGAATGTTTAAAGTTGAAGATGAAATCTGGAGGCGTAACGCGATCTGATCAATTATCCAGGATTCAAAATGCATGCAAAAGGAACCTAGTCAAGGAGAGGGAAAACGAAGAACGCAACGCTGGCAATGACTGAGAAGAAGGATGAAAAAAAATTGTTAAACAGTGAATTCTCCCTCTCGAGCTCTATTGATCCCCCAGCAATATGCTTCGTTAGTTTAAATTATTGACAGAATCATTTGTACAAGTTAAAATTTGTGTCAATTTGTTGTATGTTTCCCAAATGGAAAAAAGGAAATGTTGGGACTTGTTTTTATTCAGACAAACATTTCAAATTTGACACAAGAAAATCTTCGTTGGACTCCAAATGATCGTCGATAAGGGGAGAAGAGGGAATGGGTCACAGACAGACATCGCGCTCATCTTGCAGTTCAATCTGTAAGTAGATACTGTAGGTAACTGAAATTCCATAAACGTTAAAAAAGAGAGTGAGCTAGATCTCCTAGCGAATCAAAAGAAAAAAAGAGTTGCTAGGCACCTCTGACCAAGCAGGGTGGAATTTGTTAACAAGACAAAATGCAGTAACTGAGCTGGTATACCAATTATATACAAGCATGGGCTTTTTCCAACTTAGCTCCTTATTTCGGAGACTTTAAAGTACTCGAAGCTGAGCAAGAAAAGCAGCACAGAGATCCAGGAAGAGGAATTGTGGACCCTGAAGTCTCTGAAGGTCAAGCAAGTACTTCTCCTCCCTGGTTTTGTAAAGCTGCGCCAAAAGGAACACAAACATCAAATAAAATTTCAGAACCATACAAGCTGTGCAAGACTCAGAAAACCAGCAGATCCAAACAATAGTGTTCCTATCCGGGCCAATTTGTGTGCACCTCGGCTAATTCCAACAGGTACTTACTACCTCTTACCAACACAAATATCAGGTTACTTTGCCTACCAAGGTTTTGGGCAGAAGTGATCAAATCACCAAAGAAGTAAGACTTTGTCCTCTTCAGATAATACAAGGACCAATTCACATGCATTCAAATGTTCAAACCAACCTAAAAAGCACTTTTCTGAGTCACCAGTGAGGCAGTGACAACCCCCCCTCAAATTCTAATAATAGAGGTAAATCTAACAAAAAGACCAGCAACTTGGATTTACAGTATCATAAAATTCGACATGGTGAGATTTAGTCACAAGTAATTTTCCAAAGATTTGCATCTAAAACACATAGGCAAGCACAAAGAACCGAGCTACTTTCTTAGAAAGAATACAGGGATACAAGTAAGACTTCCACCAATTATGTGCAACATACTTCATTACTGCTAGTGCAGACTACTTTCTCACCCAATTCTTTGTTAATGTCATTAAGATTGACCGTGTTACTAAAGCTTTTCTTATTTTCATGATATACAAGTGCCCTCTAAATTCTATCTTAAGGCCAAAGCAACATTCATGTACTCCTGTATGAAGAAGTTAGACAGAAACTAGATGTATGATCCATGAAATTTTTCATACCTGAACTTCAAACTTGACCACATTTGTTAACTTTGTGGCCCCATCATTCTCAATGATGGATGAATCATCTCCAAAGAACTGATTCCCATGCATGGAATTAACACCCATGCCTTCATGATGACCAGGTAAGCTAGGAACCCATCGACATTTCATGTTATACTGACCAATCTTTTTCCAACATACATTCAGTTCTTGCAGAGCTTTCAAAACTTCAGTCATTATTTCACGTGGATGCGCTCGAGACTGTAGCAAAAAAAGGCGTTTATTATGTATAGCATACTGTTGAAAAGAATTTAGAAGCAAATTATCTAGAAAATTTCTCAAGAGAACCCATCAAATTAACAAAGGTTGTACATGCATGAGCCTATACTTATTATAGATGGAATTGGCAAGATGTTTTCAAAGTTAATCAGATTGAATATAAAATAGGATCACGGAAGTTTTCAAAGCTTATTAGTACTTCAATTTCCATAATAAATAAAAAAAAGGTCTCATACTTGGCCCTTCCCTCCAGTCACATGTTAACATGAATATCCAGCCCCCAGGGCTTCAATATAGGGGGGTAAGAGAAGGTAGAGGAGCAGGGTCATATGACTCCAATGATTAGTAAACAAAAAATATAAGAGAGAGCAAAGTTAGTTATTTGCATGAGGCAGCAAACCAACCTGGAGGCCAAGAGCCCATTTTCTTTCAATGGGGAACTGTCTTGCACCAGCTTGCTGATAATCCATTATTCCTGGGAAACGTTGACCAACAGGGGAAGCAGCGGTTTCATTAGAATTGATCCGGTTGTAACCATATTCCTGCAAGGGCATTTTTATACATCCAATTAAACACATATAACAGCAAAAAAATCAACCACAACTACATACGCAAGCTTAATGTTGATGAACTCAGTGACTGTCATAAAGATGTAACATATTTATGGACAAGAAACTCATTAAATATTGGCAAACTAATTGGCTCCTTCTCACGAAAGCAGATGGAAAGAAACTGCAGCTTTATTCAATAAAAACAAGCAAAGACGCACCATGGACTCCTGAAATTCAGCTCCAAGATAGCCAGTGGAAACACGATGGCGATTGTCCAGGAGCAGATAGTATGCAACAGTGCCCTGAAATACAACTAAAATTGAGGGAAAAGGGCAATCAAGGAAAAAATAGATAGCTGATAACGAAAATTTACCTCATTTTGAACTCTATTGCGAAGAGACTCAGTAAGGTTGTTCCTGTCAAATCCCATCTTAACCACCTCTTGAAGAATCTCTTCATCGATCTGCAATCAGATATTTTCAAGGATATTTTGACTAGATGAGAATTCTTCTGGTTTAAGAAACCATGTTAAGAGCTGTAAGGTCATACAAAAAGCTTAACATATGAAATCACCACAAAGAAAGTCCCAACAACCATACAAGTCAAATTGTAGTAAATGTGATAATAGAAGCATTTAGAAAAATAAATAAATAAATCAAAGAAGATGCGGTGATGCACCAAGACATCCCAAGCATATCAAGGAATATAGAAAATTCATAAATACAATTCTTTTGGCCAACTATTGTATTCATGCCAGCTTACAGGCACCTCACTGGGCTCCTACTACCTTCCCCCCTGCACATACCTGATTACTCTGAGCACCAGGATGATGTTGTAGAAGCCCTAATAGCACAATCGTCAAGGTCTCGAGCTAAGGAGTTGCAAGTCAAGATTGTAGGGTTTCAATTGGAAATCAAGAAGATGGTTAGCATGGAAGAAAAGCCCAAGAACGAGTCCAAGAATGATGAGAAGAATGGACTAAGTGCTACGCATATTTTATGGTTCAAGTCCAAGCCCAAAAGGAAGATGATTGAGGCCCACATGCGGCTGAAATTTCTGCCTAAAAGAATGAGCTTAAAAAACTCACCCAGAAGGGAGAAAAGAGTCGCATACAAGTGGCTTGGGAAGGGCCCACGTGTTCTGGTCAAAATTGAAAACTTTTCCTTATTTCTTTGGGGAAGAATTATAAAATTCTTATATGCTTTCCTAGCTAAAAGTTTCCTGGTTAGATTTTAGTTATTATTTCCATAAAAGTAGATTCTAATCCAATTCTATTTGGATAGTTTTCCCCAATATATAGGGGTAGATTTTATTATTTTTGTGTAGACAACTTTATTGTTAATTGAGAGTTTATCTACTTTACACCTGTGTATGGCTATTGGGGATTACAACCTTTTAAGAACAAATCTTTAAGAGGTAATTAACTTGATATCTTTGGCTCTTATTAGTAAATTAAAGAAGGTAATTATTGATCTAAGTTCTTGAATTGACTCTATCAGTATCATAAATTAGCTCTAATCTGCTAATTTCTGAACACTAAGATCAATTAGGATTCTTAGGACTACTTTTGAACTAGGGAATTTTATTCTCTAATTTCTTGTCATTAATCTTTGTATTTTTGCTTTCGCATTGTTTTCTAGTTTATTCAAGTAAAACCCGATTCTTATCACTACTCACTAGGGCTTAAACATAAGGAACGAAATAACAAGTGTTTTTTGTCTCTATGGGATTAGGAGACCCTGATCTACAAGGTTTGCACCCACTTTATTGACCCTAGTCCACATCCTTGGACCTTGGAAGAATTTCCCAAATATAATAAGCAGCTGAACTATCTGCTTATATTTATCTGGTGGTGGTTTTCGCAGAATGGACCTGGAGTAAAACTGTAAAACTAACAAAACTAGATTGTGACTTCATCACAAACTAAGGGTGAAGAAGGTCAGAACTACTAAAACGTTTATTTTTTATTCAAAGGACCCAAAATGGATCCTGATTTATTAGATAAACATGTGATATTTACGGAAGTGGGTTAGAGAGCTAATAAGGTTGGATGAGTGAACAAGGATATCGTGATCAACACATTGAAGAGAATATCTAGCGCAACAAGATATGGTTGTGACAGCAAGACAAATCACAAATCTGACCCTTCTTTAAGATGCACAATTGTGTGTTTGCCATAAGGGGAAACTACTGATCAACTTTTTTAATGTCTTTATTCTAATTTGTTTTTTCGATGTCTTTTTACCAAAAAGGAAGATTTATGAGGCTCTGATGACAGGAACTTCCACAGCAATCATAAACTTTCCCCATTGTTCAGGTACCTCCAACATTTCCTAAATTATACAAACTGCTCAAGATATATGAGCAATTCTGATCATTCTTTTTCACTCTTTTACCTGGGCGCAGGGGAGGGTGACAGAAAGATTTTGATAGGTTAAATAAATAGAATCTACCATTTAAGGCAATCAAAGATGCAAAAGAAGATAGAGAATTGCCTAGAGTGATTCCATCGCATTACAATCAAGAAATAAGCTGTGTTTGATCATAAGAATACTGCTTTAGTGCCGTTTATATGGGATAACAAATAAGTAAAAGCTGGGGAAAATTTCTATCCTGCCATGTATAACTTGTTGCATGTGAAACATTAAGGCAGAAAAACACTAATCATTAATAGTCAAATGTACATTCAATCTAACCTTCTTTGCTTGTTGGGTTGTATCTGGTGGAGGCACGGCCAAATAGCGTGGCAAATGAGCTTGGAACCAAGGGTGCAGGCGAATCTCAGGAATAGTCATTCGCTTCATTGGGTCGACTATAAGCATCCTCGGAATCAAATCCCTCGCACCAGCTGATAAATGGCTGGGCAGAGTATATATTCCACCCTAAAGACAAATTGATATAAAGTTAAGCAATTGTCTGCGATCAACCCCAATGGATTCAATAAATGTATCAACTAATCTCTCCCTTTTTTGGGGAACAGACAGGGAGCATAAATTCATTCCAATGGAGAATCGTTTTCATTTTTCCTTTTCCATTTGACATTTCACATCATGTCCACTTACCCAAAACAACAAAAAGGGTGAGATTGGGTCCCAGCAGATCTAAACAATCTTTGTTTTTTTCCTGGACATGATACATTTGGAAGGGCAGAACTGGAAAACAAAGAGTTGACCAGCATAGTAAAATGGGATAAATCAGTA